ATTGAACTGGATCACCTAAATAGTAGCACAAATCTAGGTTGACCGGTACCATACATTTAATGTACCAAGGACCTAGAATTGATCTGTCCTCAAGCATACATACATATGGAGGGTACCCAGTGAATGATGAATAGAGTAATAATTTATGCTAATTGATATACTCTCTGATACACATCTAGAAATTGGGGAAAGTTTTAGACACTGTCACTAAAGTCAAGGGGAGTTTTAGATAATCTCCCATCAACTTGTAAGTAGATCTGGATAGCAAAACACTGAGATTTCAGTCTATTGGTTGCCATAAATGCACAACTGCACATATTTCTTCTGACTAAGGCAAAACATTTCCAGTTCTGTTCCTCAGAAATAAAAGAGGAAACGAAAGTGTGATGGTGCGGTGGACTGGTGATGATGCTCAATAATACGAAATGGATAGAAAATTCTGTACCAGCTTGGTTAGAGATATTGACTAGTGAGTAGAATTATTTTCCAACTTGTAAAGTCCTATACTGGAACTTATGTTGCTCTTCGCTTTTGTCAGTATTTTGAATCACTGCAGTTTGTGATGCCTTTCATGCTCTCAACACATCATCCCCATGCACAAAATTTGTATGCAAAATGCAGGCTATCAGGAAGGCATTTGTCTCCAAGAACAATCATAAATCTAGAATATTAGTTAATCATTTGGTAGCTTAAAACAACTCTAAACTGTAATACAATCATTTTAGTGATAATTCCAATTTAAATAAGGCATTCATGGATCCAAATAACTTGAAATTATGCATTTTGGTAAGAACATTTCAAGACACTTTATTATTTAATTTTCCCCCTTTATAGCAGAGCAAAATGAGAGAATTAAAATGTTAGGAAATACTATTTCAAGAAGCATGCATATTATTCAGAAACCTTGTTCTTCAATTTGGCAAGGGCTATCAGGAATACCAACCTTAGAAGCAAGGGATCAAAAAAAGCAAGGCTTACAGAAGATATTTTTGTTAAAAAAAAAGAAAAGAAATTTATTAAAATAAAAAAAAAAAACAGAGAAATACAAAGGAAGGTGACTAGAAGTCACCCAAGAGAACAAAAACAGAACTACACCTCCAAAAGACAACTCTAGCATCTATAAATCAAAACAGCCAATCACCAGACACAAAGAACAAATACCAACAAACCACCCCTTCTGAACAAGAACAAGATACAACAGCACCCTACATCAACAGAACAAAAGTGCCCAACTCTCCACATGCTTAATTAGAAACCCTTGGAATTCTGTAAGGCTTAAGATCACCAAGATGAAGCAGAACTAAGTTACATTTAAGAACCAACTCAGCAGAACCTAGATGACTACCATACTATTGGAATTCCGTAAGCCCTACACAAGCAGAATTTGAGAGCATAACATAGCCCCTCTTGGAACTCCAACCCAAAATACGAAATTTGAAATACCGTGTCTCAAGTTCAAGACTTCAAGTTCCATCAATCTGAGAATATCCTAGAACCCAACAAGGCAGTACTCAGATCGATGAGAAAAAAGTGATGATCAACCAGTTTCTTGTTGTTCAGATGCAAAAACCAACTAGCTACGTTCTATTCCAATCAAAAAATGAAACAAGTGTTATATAAATGTTGAACTGTTTGTTAGTTTCTATTCTTTATGGTAGGCAAGCTTTCTCTACATATGGAAAATACTTTTTATAAGAAAATGATATCTGGGTCCAGCATGTGCCTATATACCTCTTTTATTTATCTACCCTAAACCATTCTAGTCAGACCATCTGCTATTACTTCACCACTTGCCCCATTTATTTAGGTTGAATAAATAGTGATTCATTTCAGATTTGTGAATATGTGAAACAAAAGTAGAATTCAGAAAAGAAACAAATACAAGCAAATCATTTCCAAATTCCAATGCATGCAAACCCAACCCCTTTTTTGTTTAGTATTTGAAAATAGGGCAATGCTTACAGGCCTTGTCCCTCACATATATCTTAACTCACAAGAGTGAAAAATGTTGAAAATACAAAATTACTCCAATAGAAAAGAAAGCTCAAGGAAGATAATTGAATGAAGCTCACAAGACTGACTACCAAAATATCATCATCATCACCCAAGCCATGTCCCAACTAGATGGGGTCAACTACACGAATCCTGTTTTGACATTCCATTCTGTTTAGTGCCATCCATTGATTAGCTACCACAACATACAGGACAGATTTGATTGACTATGAAAGGCAGCCAAGACCAAAAGAGATTTTATTCCAACATACCAAGCATAATAACAGCATGAAGTTGTGTGACTACTGTCAGCATGTGTTCCTTGAATACATGCAAGAAGGCTGCCAGTAATGAAATAATATGATTCTAACTAACAAAAAAGTAAACTGAATCCAAGAGTGCAATAAAGCTAGGACTGCATGGCAAAAGATAGAACCAGAACTAAATCCACATCACTAAAATGCAAGTGAATAAGATTTGAGTCCAGAATAACAGGTCATAAATCAGTAAAAGATCTGAATAGATTCTAACATTAAGACAACTAATAACAATAATTTAAACAAGGGCTAGGATGCACATGATGGTCACCTACAAAAAGAGAAGCTAAGAAAGCATGTATTATGCAAAGAGAACAAGTAAAAATATCAGAGACATTTACCAGTTGAGAGTTGCAATTAAACCAGGATGCAACAAGCTAGTCCATTAAGCAGAATTCCTACAAGCTAGTCCTCTTTTGTACTCTAATCCAACAAATAAATCAGATAACCATAACAATATAGCAGATTACATGAAGGAGGACTCACTAAACCAATCATATGAACGTGACCCCACAAATAAATTGACTGTAAAAAAGATATGTATATATATATATATATACATCGACTCATAATTGTCAAGGTGATACCTAGGCTACAAGTAGGGTTGTCAATGGGTCAGGTCCAATCCAATGGACCCGAACCGAATGGGCTGGCTCTGGTTCCAAGATTCGTTATCGATGGGTTGGCTCCGGTTCCTGATCCATTTTATCGGTTCAGAACCGGTTCTACTAAATCCCATACTGACCTAGACCCAACCAGACCCATATATACCGGGTTCATTATGATTGGCTCCATCGGGTCAGACCCGATTGTCCCGAGAACCAATCAGTTCAGTTCTGGTTCCTTAATATATCTTGCTGGGCCAGTTCCAGTTCTACCTAGACCCAACCCATTGACAACCCTAACAACAAGGCACTCTTGGAGGGTCACCTCGCCCAAGTGCCCAAGTGCCTAGCCAATATGTATAAAGTATTTTTGTATTTTTTTTATGATATTTATAATATTAGAAAGGATATTACTACACTAAATTATTCATTTTGAGGGTTTATGACATTTTATAATTCTTATACTAGTTGCTTTTGATTATTTTCTTATTTGTCAGTTTAGGTTTTATAATTCTTCCTTTTATTCTCATAAATATGTTGATTTTCATTGTTTTTATATGAGATCTATACTTATTTCATGAGGATCATGGTAATTATTAATCAAAGATTATTGCTGATTAGTGATTACTATGACACCTAGGGAATTATCCAAGGATTTATAATTTTTTATAAGAAATCCACCGCCTAGGCAACTAGGCAACAAGGTGCCTCCCCTATCACCTAGGTTCGCTTTGGTAGCTAGAACCTTGTAAACTATGGTAAAGTTATGCAATAGGGAGGGCCTCTAGTCACCTGCATGGGTGTTGCCTAGGCAATGTATTAAAAAATCTAAATCTTAGGGTAATGCTTGAGGTTCCATAGCAACCGCCAACCAGTAATAATATCTAACTAATAATAACCAATAATCTTCATCAAACAGGTATAACATCCATATCAAAATATAGAAAATCAATGTATTCATGAGAAGAAAGAAAGAAAGCTTAGAAGAAGAAAGAAAAGGGGTGGAAGAAGAAGGGCTTACAATAAAAAAGGAACAGAGGTGGAGCCAATGAGGTCCCTAGAAAAAGAAGAAACAAAAGAGGTGAAGAAGAAAAGGCATACCTCAGTTGCCCTTGTGTGACAATCAAACCCTAACAAGTAAGAAAATAATAAAAAAGAAACTAGTATATGAATTATGAAAATATTATAAACCCACAAAATGACTAATGTAGTGTCATAATGTCTAGTTTAATATTACAATCTAACAAAAAATTAATATATATATATATATATATACAGTACCTTATACGAAAACAACCAGGCACTTGGGCAACCACCTTCCATGGGCACCTTGTCGTCTAGGTGTCACCTTGACAACTCTGTATTGATCATGACAAAGAGAATCCTGATCATTCTATCATATTGATTTACTTATTTTTTGTTTTCTTTTTTTTTTCTTTCTCATTTATTCTATTTGGGGGTTGGAGGCTGGGGTTAGGTAGACAAATGTTTTCAACCTGTCCTTACCCTAGACGGTTGGACCAGTTGACCCATTATCCAGACAGGATCCCAGGTCCATTTAACTCCTAAACCATTTTCTTGGACAAAAAATTGACAGGATCATGGTAACCTGGCCAATCGAACTACTCACCTGGTCAGCAGGTCACTTGTTAGACATTATATCTCTTTTTCTATATTTTTAGCCATTTCCATCTTTAATGACAAACTGGCAATTTTCAAATTCATTGCATTTATTTTTGTTTAATATGGTGAACATACAAGATAGGAGATATGCCCAATTAATGCAAAATTTCTGTGTTCTTACATTTTTTTATCTATTTTCACATTTTCATTATACGATTTATGACATCATAAATTGACCCATTTGACCCAGACAGTTGAACCATTTTTATCTAGTACATCTTCAAGATGGAGTCCTACCTACAATGTACACTAACAGCTTTTATTAATCACGGTTGCTATCTACAGTACCGATTACTGAAATCATCAAAAAGAATGAAATGAAATGACCAGAAGAGAACTCTAGTTGTTGTTTGACCGATTGGGTATTTAACAAATGACAGTTGATTTAATTTGACAAGGAACATTAAGAGAAACCAATATCATACCGAGTGAACGAGTTCTTACATTTTCTTAATCAAGAACCAGGCTGTACGTAATAATCAAACATTAGATTACAACTGCATTCGAAACGGAGATAGATAATCTGTCATACAGAACAAACAGCAGAATGCCAAAACACGTAAATACAAGTCCATGTAGTAAATCGCCTAAGATAGATCACTTTTCTCCCGGTACTTACTCCTCCGCACCGTTGTTGGTCCAGAGTGAAACAAGGCTCTGGACATAAGTATGTGTTGGGTGCATAATCCAATTTGGTAGATCATGTATCGCGAGATGTCTAACCATTTTAGTGTTTGGATTGTAACAAAACAATCTCTTGATTGTGTGCTCTAGTAGTATTTCACCGTTCTTCAACAGGCACAGTAGTTGAAGATAATTCATAGGTGGGAATACTGCTCCTCGTTGGATGACAAATTGTTTAGTCCATGACTCCTTGACTCCATATTCTTTCATCACCCAAACCACAAGACTTCCCCCATCATCAGGGGCATAAGCTAAAGAAAGGCAGCCTTCTAACACAACAAGTGAGGCACAACCCTTCTCTCGACTTGGGTTAAGTTCAGAAGGAGGATCCAGAACTCGAAACTCTTCATCCCCAACATCAAAATAGACGATTAAATAAATCCCCGATCCAAGGTGATAACCAGACAACCAATGTATAGCTCCGTTGACAAGCGAACTTGGAGAGGCCCAAAGCAGGAACTCTGTATCTTCCAACCTTCGCCACGACTTGGAGCCAAGGGTATAGACTTCGACTTTGGTTTGATAAGAGCCGGTCAAAGGATTAGTTCCAGTGAAAAGTGTTCTTACGACCTTGTACTCATCAGTGGCGGGATGGTAACCGAATGCATAATCAGCTCTGGAAGTGTGTGCGATGCAAGGTTCCGGAAGCATCGTGCATTCTCTAGTGATGGGATTGAAAATGTAGATATCGGGATCACTCGGCAAACTGAAGCCACGCGCTACACATACCAAACCATTGCACGAACCCAATATGGAAAAAGGATTCGGTGAACCAGAGGAAAGGAAGGGCAACTCTATGGTTACTGCCTCACAGCCCTCTTCGTTGAGATCAAAAAGATAAAGAACACGATTTCCATTAACATGGAAATTGAGGATGAGATTAAGGTCTGCGGTTCCATTATCACGGAAATTGAAGATAAGACTAGGGTTTCTGTGCTGGGATGCTCGAGCGAGGTGCATTTTAGCGAGACGGGGATCGCGTACCAAAGTGAGCCAGGATTTGCATACGCACCTGCATTGAAGGAGAAACCTAGCGGGAAGTCTTGAGAGGATCTCGAGGAGGATATCGTAAGGGAGGTTCATCAGCTTCCCTCTTCTTTGCCCTTCCTTCCTCTCTTTCCCCATCGCCGCCTTCTCCAAACCAAAACCCTCTAATTGCAGACCTGAATTCTGATGATGATCCATGGCAGCATGCCCTAGACCTTGCTGTTGCAGGGCTCCAGGCTCCAGGCTCCAGGCTCCAGGGAGTGTCGACCCTCTCCCCTCACTTCCACTCATTCAACGACGACGACCATTTTTTCTTTTCTTTTTTTTTTTTTTTTTTTGGATCCAGATTTGTTTGTTTGTTTCTTTGTTTTTAACCCCAGTTTCAGAACTCAGCACAGGTAGGTCTGGCTCCCGGCCCCGGGATGCTTACTTGCGTGGGCCCCACCCCAAGCTTTTCAGCCTTTATGGACCTCGAAACTCGGCCTCCCCAAAGCTAGGGTTCCGCTACATGACCCTACCTATTTCTCTGCTGACATGGCGTTCAATCCACACCGTCCATCCAAAACCAAAATATCTTCTGCTCTGCAAAACGGGGGAAATTCCTTTTTTTTTTTTTTGCTTTTCTTGGAAAATAGGATATTCAACAGAAAATCGAAAACGATTTATTTTTCTTCAAACGTGAATTGTTCATTTATTCCTCCTCATAAATATACAGGTGCCATAATAAATAAATTTGATTGGAACCAGGAGGACCACTCGCAGGAGACGCATTGGGATTTTTCCTATTCTCAAGCCAACAAGGCAATAAACACGTTCTCATTGGCTCCCCACAGAACATCACAGCACGTAATCTGGCATAATACAATTGTTACAGGGAGATGTTTACAATGCACCGTGGGGATGTGGTGTGTTCTATGGGAGTCGATGAAAATTCAGTTCCAACAACCTTCTAACAACTTGAATGTATTCACAAATCACAACAAAATAACTTTTTAACATATTTACATTGATTCGGGATCTGTTACCCACAAGTTGTTCTTACACCCATACCCACAGAGCACCACCACCATGTATTGGGAACATTTCCAATGCACAGTTGTCATATCCGGTAGGTAGAGTAACTGATCCAAACTCATTCACATCTCACTATGGCAGTTCCAGTTTCATGGTCAGATATTGGAAAAGCATTTTATTGTGAGCACATTCAGATTCCTCAACATGACATTGGGATTCAGCAATGGATGAGATGTACAGTGTCAGATGTGTTGAATCATATTTTGTTGGCAGGAGATCTAAACTGATTGGACCAACCCTCATTTTAGAAAACGACTAATAGAAAATCAGAAGAAAAAAAAAAAAAAGTCATTTTCTTACGACCGTTGGTCACTTTCTGGAAAATGTTTGATTTCCATTGTCTTTTTATTTTTTAATCTTTCATTTTGAACTCATGAGATGATATTATAATAGAATAAATACCCATTTTCAATCCTGAGGTCGTTTTCAAGGTCAGACCATCCGCTACAACTATATTAATCAATCAATTTATTCCATTCATTTCTGTTTTACTGGGCATTTTTAGAATGTGATGGAAACTAAAGGTTCTGTTTGTTTGTTTTTTGCAGTGCAAACCTGAATTGGATGCAAAATTTGCACCTGATTCAGCTCTGCATATGATCTACACTTTTAACCCCATGCAAAATTTGCACTTTTTGATTTTTTTTTAATTTTTATCTCATTGTTAGTTGTTGCCCATTGGTGGTGCTGATATTGCCCTACTTTCCTCTTACATTGATTCTCTCTCGTGTAAAGTGAGCACTATATCATTTTCTTTTCCCTCTTATTCCTTTCAAACAATAACTTCCTGCTCCATTCTCTTTCTAGGATCGACCACATCATTTTACTTCTCACCAGCAAAAAGAATAGAAGAAAAGTCAAATCCGAAGCAAAACTAAACCAGACATTCAGCCCATTTGCACTCCCATGCATTTACCCCAATGCAAAAGAAATTTGTTAAGCAAACAAACGGAGCCTAAGAAAAGAATATAAATCTGAGCAATTGCTTCTAAAGTTCTAATGCATATGATTTGATTCCTATTTTTTAGCTTTGTGGTCTTTAAAAAAGTTAAATTCAAAAGCTTCATTCTTGATTAAGGCCATCTTGATCAAGAATTTTATCTATATTCCAATTCATAAGGTTGAAAATTTCGTTACGTATCAGGATGCATCAGGCATATCATATCATTCCCAACACCGTGTAAACCTTTTTGAGTTTGAATACGTAGATTTTCTACTAGGGACCCGACCAGCTCAAAGGATAAAATATTCAAATACTTGAGATACCAATCAAACAAACAAAAATAAGATCATGCAGTTTAATGCAGATTGATTAACCATGAGATACAACTAGGGCCAGGACTCAGGAGAGAAACATCATTGTACCATGAAATCAAAATAAAGGGTAGAAACTAATATATAGCTTATATTTCTTGAATCAAGGTTCAAAAACCATGATAGACAGATAGATAGATAGATGCATGGACTATTTCAATAGTTTATACTTTTTTATATAGATCGTACCTCAGAGTCCTTATCTTCTTGTATTGTCAAAGTCAGATTCCTGGAGACGAATCGCATTCTGACTCCTGTGTTCATGCAACACTGGCATGAATTGTCAATCAATTAAAGAATGAAAGAACCAGCCCTTGTTCAAATTCAATCATGATGCAAAGCAGAGAGTAATAAAGCAGCTACAACAGCATGAATGTGAAAACAGAATGGCAACCAAATGCAAATGGCCAGAATGGAAACCAAATGGACAACACTCTAATTTAGACCAGAATGCCAAGATTCTGTAAGGTCTCATTGGGTCCTAAAAATGGCACAACTGAGCTACAACTTTTCTTTTCTCTTGGGTAAAAGTAAAATTCCATTACAAATGTAAGAATGGTACATTTAAAAGGAAAAGAGATTTCAGACTTTCGGCCAAGGAGAAAACAAAAATAAAAGACAAACAGAAGACCAATTCTTCCTTTCAATACCGTTTCTTCCATTTTATTGATCTCACAACCTTGTACTGAAACAAAGTGCATTGTTCCTGGTTTTGGCAGCACAAAGCATTCTCTGTTTCTGGAGGAAGCTCCAGTAACGCTCCCCTTCTGCATTCTTTTTCCTCTTGCACTTTCTTCAATTTTACATTTCTCCATTTACATCGAGTTAGATGGATTAAATTGTCTCACGAGACTTCAACCAATGTGGGGTCTGGGGGAGGGACAGATGCATGGCCTTAACCCCCTACATATTCACAGAGCCGCAGAGGTTGTTTCCAAGATTTGAACCCTGATCATCCCAGGCGGCACTAGCACAATCCAACCATTGCGACACGGCCCCACCATCACAAGTCACAAGGCAATTCCTGTTTCTCTGCACGTTTAAGCCATTTACTAGAAGGTAAAATTAACTCTTAATTAAATGAAAACGATTTAAACTCTTTGAATTTTTTTTAGCAAAACAAATTAGAAATCTAAGAGGGTACAGAGAATTATTTGATCAGTCGTTCCATACATGCATTACATTCCAGATGGAACAAGAGCCTTGTATCATTTCCTTCTTTGTGCAAGCACAGTGACAAGTAAAACAAGATTGCACTCTCTCTAATAGAGAGACCCCTTATCATTTAATCCCCAGCCTTCATTCCTACCTTGTACCCAAAGCTATCCTTTCTTCAGAAACAGAATGGGCATGGAAGACAACAGTCATTCGGAACCCGTGACTAATTATCGGTGAGTGGTGACCAAGAACATTAAACTACTTCAAGTAATAGTTTCACTGTAGGGTCAATACTGTAGTCTGAATTCTAACTTGGAACAAAAACAAAAGTTTCCTTAATTTGTACTTTTGGATGATCTCATACTTAGATCCTTTACAAACAAACATCTAAAATCATCAATTAACCATAGATATGAAAAATCAAATAGTCTACTTTGTACACTGTCAAAGACAGCAATGAATCTGGCCTCCAAGAGAAAGAAAAACACTTTGTAATACTCTTTTACTTTTTTTTTACTTTTTTTTAATTTGGAAGTAGAAACATTTCTGAGAATGGTACCCAACTGCATAAACAAATCAAACACTACTAGCATCACTCTTCCATGGGGTGATTCTCCTCTGACTGCTGATGGGCAACCTTGACTTTGATCTTTGGAAGGGTGAGTGATGGTTCTTGTTGAAGCACAGCAGGAGCCTTGACCATGTGGATGCTCTGCTCCAACTCCTTTGTTGCCTCCCTCTGCTCCTTGGCTTTCTTCCCCTTCATCCTGACAATGTTTTGAGAAATTGCTTAAGAAAACTAAAGACAAATATCTCCTCGTGTATGTAACTTGAATGTACAAGTAAAATAAGAGAAACCTCAATGCATGATGTCTGGCCTCCCTGTCCACTCTGACTTTGTCAATCTTCTTAATTGCCTTCAGGGTGTTCTCTGCGAGATTTCTGTCATATCTCTCTGGCCTGTTTCGCTTTCTTTCAAACTCAAATGTCGAATCCTTCAAAACACAGGATGAATGAAAAGAAGTGAATTGCCTAGTTACATTTTGTCCAGGATTAACTTTGAACCAAGGATTCCTTACTTGTGTCATATCTTTAGCATGTAACCGCCTGTATGCTTTTGTCCATTTTACTTTGCGGGGATTCCTCTTCATCTTGAAATTTTTGTGGCATTTGGATCTACAAAACCGAAAAATCTGCGAACATGTTTGTGAGGAACCAGTAACATTAAATATTAACTCTCAAATAAGATATTACTATACAGTAGATCAAGTCATGAACCACGGATCCATGGCTTGTGGGCTACATCAGGCATAAATCAAAGAACTCATACAATCACATTAGTTACTCCTATTCTGATCATCTTTAACATCTTAACTGACTGTTCAAGAGATACTAACATATGCAACATAAGGAAAAATCCTCTGTTGGTCGTAACTCAAACAGAATAGCATTAACCCCCCATCCCTCAACTTGTTTCTTTTTTCAGGTGGTGGAAAATAATTCAAATGCATCCAAAAAACTTGCGTATATATATGGACACAGTGTACTTTTACCTTTTATTCCTTAAGGACATATTACACATCAAGCAACAGATATGTATACTTATCAACTAAGCTATTATCTTTTACCAAATAAAGCAATAACCCAAAAAGGGGATACCTGCAGCTAAAAAAAGTAATTGATCATGGGTTCATGGCATGAAACAGAGTGGCCTTAATGCACAGGACACTGCCAAACTACAAAAGCCTCAACTTCCCGTTTGTTTGAACTCATTACCTCTCTATTGGAGTAGGGATGTTATGACCATCAGATCAAGGGGCATGGCTGCAGATGGAGCGGAGCAGTCTTCCTCTTTTGTGCATGAATGGAGCAACTTAAGGAGCTTCTATTTATTTATTATCTTTTTGTCCCATAGCAACCACCAGAGGTTGTACATGCTAATAGTTAGCAGGACATATTCTAAACTAGATATTGAGAGTTACAGTATTTAGAAATAACTGGGAGTTATCACTTGAAACTGTTTCAAAATAGGAGATGCTACTGGGGCTATAAAGCTAAAAAACTAACTGATAATTAAACAATAATGTAATATTAACTAGCAAGGTGCCAACTTCTCTTGTTGGTCGTAGCGGAGACTTGGGATCGAATCCCGCCTGCACTTGGGTTGGGGGGGGAGGGGGGGTGTATGGCCATATAGGTTGGGGGATAGGCTACCCCCCCTCCCGGTTGTGAACCCCTTCAAAAGATATAAAAAAATAATAATTAAGGGTAAATTACAAAGACCCCCCCCGTACTATGGGGTCTGTGACAATGACCCCCCTATACTTTGTTTTGCGACAAAGACCCCCCTGTACTATGACCGTGAGACAAAGACCCCCTTCTGTTAGCCTTCCGTTGAAGTCCTCCGTTACAATATTTTTTAATCCCCACATTACCCTTATAATAACTATTCAAATGGAAGAAAAACACTGTTCATCTTCCCCAACCTCATGTACACGAACAGAAGCGGCGGTAACTATTGCAGCGGCGGTGGACTTCCGTTGAAGTCCTCCCTCTCTCTCTCCTCTCTCTCCCCATACCTCTCTTCTTCCTCATCCCCTTTCTATCCTCCCCCTTCTTTCCAATTTCCTCTGTTTTCCGTTCTTTGCATATGGAGAGAAATCGAACTGGGCACACCAAAACAAGATTTCTGGGTGAACATCGACACCATAGGCAGCTTGAGTTGGGTCCGATGCCAACCCTGTACTAACTGCTCCAAAATTACAGTTCAATAGCTGCAATAGCTACCGCCATTCCTGCTTCTGCTTCTGGGTTTTCTGGGTTGAACTAGTCACTTCATCCCCACCACACTTCTTCCCTGTTGTGGTGAACATCCACCCACAACGTTCATCCAGAAAACATCCACCCACAACGTTCATTCCTGCTTCCCTGTTGTGGGACATGGCATATTCTCAGAGATACCGAGCCATCCGACTCCTGCTTCAAAGCGAAATTCAAGTTCTCCAGAGAACAATGAAAATGGGGCATCATCCAAACTAGGCAGCAGTTCATTCAACTTGAAGTCTACTTCCAATCATGCGGTTGATGGAGCTACAGTTTCAATAAAGCTTGATCATAGCAATTATTCGGGATTGGAAGATTTCCAGCGAGGAGTCATGGTTTCAGGGATGGGAGCAGAATACAGACTGGGCTTTCATCACAACCAGATTCTGCTATGCTATTCACAAAATATCCAGCAGCATTCGGTGATTATTCAGCACCATCCTACAGGGTAGAGAAGCAACCAGTGCCAGTTGTTAAGATGAATGACCTGAACATGGGTTGTGTGTCAGTATTTCCAACGAAGGATTTAGATGGTATTGGGGATTTGGCAGATTATCAGACATACAGAAGCTATGATGGAATGAAGTTACAGCCATATACGACGGTGGATATGAAGGGACATGGCATATTCTCGGAGCTGGAGAAGAGGAATGGATTTGAATTGACTAGTTTTCAACAGGGAATAAGTGCGGTGGGGATGAACATTGTGGGTGGACTTCAACGGAAGTCCGCCCCACTGTTGTTCGTGTATCATGAGGTTGGGAAGATGAACAGTGTTTTTCTTTCAATTATTTGAATAGTTATTACAAGGGTAATATGGGGATTAAAAAATATTGTAACGGTGGACTTCAACGGAAGGCTAACGGAAGGGGGTCTTTGTCTCACGGTCATAGTACAGGGGGGTCTTTGTCAGACCCCATAGTACGGGGGGGTCTTTGTAATTTACCCAAAAAATTTACTATGAATCCATAATTAGATAGATTTTAAGAAGTTGTCAGTTTGGGAAGAGTACAAATACAAATATGTAAAGTGCAAATACAGGGTTGACAAATACATTAGACAAGGATTTGTACCGTACATATTTGTATTTGTACTTTTGGGAAGAGTACAAATACATACGAAATAATATAAAATACAAGGTTTTGCTCTCTACATAGTTATATTTGTACTCCTTCCGAACTGAACCTTGGATACAAAAATTTAAGGACAAATCTTTGACTGCCCAACCCAACCAACTCAAATTGCGCCCTTAGCAGTGAAGAAAGAAAGAGAACTTTGCATACGCATGAAATTTGTGCATTAATAGGTCATTTAATTTATAAATTATAAAGATTATACATTATTCTAAATCCTGCAATTCTAAGGGTAAGTATAAATCATTAGAAATTAGATGTTACAAATCCTACATAATAGTGCAATACTTCCTATTATTTTCCTACATAAATCATTAGAAATTGGATATCAGGAATGTAATATGTTTCACATCATATTAGCTACTTGAAATGCAATTGAGGAAAAAAAAGAGATTGTGGGTTTTACATGCTCGAAAATGTTTTATATGTTTGATTGTATTTTTGAATTCTCATTTGAATATGCTTTACATGTTATGTTTGTGTATTTTAATTTTAGATAATAGGTTTTTACTTTTTTTAAACATTTATTTAAAATTAAAGTATATGTTTGTTATTAATATTATGTTTAATTTTTTTTGAACTTTTTGGCATTTTTTTAATTTTCTGACTTTTTCTTGATTTTTAGCATTTTTTTATTCTTGCGCCTTGCTTCAAAAAGGCACGCACCTTGCCTTGCACCTTGTGCCTCGGGTGCAAATTGACCCCTATGCCTTTTTTGCGCCTTGCGCTTTTAAAACACTGTTATTTTCATGAACCATCCATGACACACTGAACAAAAAGAAATAGGTGGGTGGTAGGTCCATCTCTTAGTTTGAAGGACTAGATGAAGTTCAAACCAGCCGCAAGATGGAGGAAGGGATGGGATTGTGAGGCTAAGAGGTTTGTGTTTGAAGATTGCAGGAATAATAGACAGATCTGCCTGAAAATCTGGGAAGAAAAGAAGGCCACATTATTTCTAGTTAGGGAAGCGGTAGCCTGGGTAAAAGACTTTGTTGATGGAGCAGTATACTCAAAAAAAGTGAATGGCTTGAAAGGGCAGATGAACACGGGGAGAAAGAGTTTCTTGGCGGAACTGAGAAATAACAGAAAGGGACGGTTCATAATGTTAATAGAGTGTTTTGGGAACGGGAAGAGGAAGTTGATTTGCATCCCGGAAGGTAACAAGCAAACAGGATGGAAAGGGTTTGCAGATAAACTGCAGGATTACCTGGTGGTGAGGAGAAGGCTGAGGCAAGACCACAGAAATCCATTCGAGACAAAGAAAAAAGGGAGGTGAAGAGGAACTACAACACTAACTTCCCTAATCAAATAAATGAAGTAGCAGATGTAGAACAGGGTATGAAGTGTGAAGTAGCTTGCTTTGTTAAAATGCATAAACTGAAGCTAGACGTGGAAAAAATGAAGTGGGCGAGTAGGTTTGTGCTAACAACGACCAAAAAAAATTAAAGATTGGCAGCCGATTGTGGAGATAGGAAAGAAATTTGGCTTCACATCGCCTATGGTAGTGGTGCCGTTCAGTGACAGCAAAGCAATACTTGATGTGGGGAGTGAGAAGTTGGACTTCTCTTCCATTGTCACCCAAGAAGGGGCGGTCGTCATCAAGAAATGGTGCATGTCTTGTAATGACCATGACGTTAAAGTAGATAAATTCTCTACCAAGCTCGTCGGGTTGCTGTTCAACTTTTGGAGGAAGTCGGTGGTGGAGAAGATAGTTCATAGCATGGGGGCTAAACTGGAGGAATGCAACTTTAGTAACATGTGAGYGGTCAAGGTGAAAGTCCAGGGGATCAGGCCGGAGTAGATTTCTCAAGTGAAAACTGTTTTCTCAAATGAGCTATGGAGGAAGGTTTGGGTTCTGACGGAAGTGGAAGCGTCAATGTGGAAGAGTTGCTCGACAGGGGAAGAAGATGATGAGGTGGAGGGTGAAGTCATACGTGGCAAAGAAATACTGGTTGACAGAAGAGAGGGTGAAGGAATGCTTTTTTGGGAAGGGGAACAGTCAGGTGTAGGAGGTGTAGTAGGAGGGCACCTTGAAAAATAAATCCTTTTAAATCCAAAATCTCAAGGGGTGGGGCCCACATATGCTGACATAGTAAAGGAGCCAGTGCAAGCCAGTGTTAAGTTGAGACTAGTCGAGCCGAACCGAGATTGAGTAAGCCAGACCAAAGGGTCGACCATGGCCCTGAGCGCATGTGAGTGTTTTAACAGTCATGTGGATGGATGTCAGGTAGGAGCTT